GTGCTGTACTACTACTATATAACATAAGAATCTTAGTACAAAAAAAAAAAAAAAAAGTACATCTAGTCCAACATGTCAACCCCCTTTTGGCTTATCAGGCTATAGGTATTTAATATACATAGCCTTTCAAACCACTACATAAGGGATTTCTCTAAGACAAAACCTTCAGAACTAGCATGCTTATTCCCTTCCTGTATAACTTTTTTAATCAGTTTGCATACAGCACATACCTCTCAGGATACAGCTGACTGAGGACCCAGATCAACTGAACTGCAGCACTGCGTACCTGTTCATAATCATCTGAGAGCAGTTTGCAAGCCTGAAATGAAGGTTTCCAAATATTAATCTTAAACCCCGGCACCAGGTTTACATTTAAGCTTCTATTAAACTCTCTTACATCTCTACCCCGATATAACGTGACCCGATATAACACGAATTCGGATATAACGTGGTAAAGCAGTGCTCCAGGGGGGCGGGGCTGCGCAATCCGGCGGATCAAAGCAAGTTTGATATAATGCGGTTTCACCTCTAACGCGGTAAGTTTTTTTGGCTCCCAAGGACAGCGTTATATCAGGGTTGAGGTGTATATGATAAAGTACAGATTCTATCCCAGCTAGGTCAGGTTAGGAATCAAAATGCATTTGGTTATCTCAACCTAGTCCTACCAGACCTTTGTCCATTACACAAATCCAGTGCAATACTTATCAGATTGGTTAGCTCTGCTCAGGTGAGCTCTAGGACTGGCTGAACTACACAGAGACATGTGAAGCATGTTGCACAGCACCTGTCCTCACTACAACTGACTATGCTCCACATTATTCTCATTTTCATAGGCCTTGATCCTGAAACTTTATCCATGAAGGTAGATCCCATCCTCATCGGAACATCAATGAAACTATTTAATTCTGTTCAGGTTCTTATACTGCGTTCATCACCATAGTATGAGCACCTTCCAGCAGTACATTAAGCAATGTGACTACACACCTGCCACATGTTTGGTCGCTCATCCTCTCTTTGTGTGCAGTGGAGTATCTTGTTTTGGTAGGGTTTCCCCCCCCCCCCTCCCCATAAATATACCTGTTGCTATGAGTTTACATAAGAGAAGACAGGTAAAAAAATGCACTTTGCACTAGGAGCAGAAAGTGGAGGGATTTGTGATGGTGCTTAACTCTTGGCGGCGTTCATTCCACAGTCTCAATCCCCCAGAGAAAGTTCTGTCTCCTGCACAGACAAGCTTTACTCTTAAAGTAGAGAGTTCCATGATGCCAGAGGAGCATAGTGGTCAACCAGGTCTTTGTCCCAGCGCTTCAGACAGTCTTTTAGATATCCTGGGCCCAGGCCACGGAATGCTTGGAAAACTCTGCATGTGTGCAAGGCTCCCCTTGCACAGATTAGACTGCAGGATCAGGCCATAATTACTAAATTGTCTCACCTCTTCCGCAACCCTCTCCCTCCTCCAGTAAAAGTAAGCGTACATATCTGAACTATTGTAGCTGAGAAAACTAGGATTTTAAAAAGACTTGCATTTTCAAGCTACCAAAGACAATGATGCATATAAGCTAACTACATGCGCTGACCGCAAATTACATCATCTCCACAGCTTCATTATCCTTGAACATACTTCCTTTCCTATTGAACTACTTTGTCACAGAAGCCAAAAAGGAACTTGCACAATATTTAATAAGCCATTACCTGACTGTAAATAGTCTGCTGCAATTTTAATCCTCTTTCATGTAGCTGCAGCTATAAAAGGAGAAGAAAAAAACAAATAGATGCATTACCACATGGTTTTAAATAAGATAGTCAATTTTCATTGCTATTGTCTCTGCCATTTGATTACCACTTGAATCCCATAATAATTGCTTGCTATAGTAGTTGATTCTCTGCTACATTCAACCATTACATGACCTCTGCTGAATTAAATATTCTCATCTTATTATAATAAATAATTATCTAGACTTTGGTATAAAGTTTGTCTCCATCATACTTGGTTTTTACATTAGTGCTTCCAATAACACCATCTTTCTCCATTCTGAAGAGTTGTGCTTGACAACATGAATTCTCAATAAATTCTTGTCCTGAAAACATTCTCAACTACTGACCCAGCAAAGCTGTAGAAACTTCTCTAGCAACCACAGACAATTTCTACACAGAATACTGTAGCTCCATATGAGTTTCTGAAGTATAAATAGTAAGATAGAATTATATATGTTCCCTATACATGGGAAGACTATCTGGTAGGCTGTCATCTGAAAGAAAAGCATTTATCTTTTCTAGACGGGCCTCTGCAGATTACAATTTACAAATGAAGAAAAAATATTAAAACAGTAGCAAAATAGTCATGGGCAAGGTTTTTTGGTGCCTCCAAAGAATGCCTTCTGGTCTCAAACCACAGAACGATGGAGGCTTTTGTGCTGTGATAGTAAATTGTCCTGGCAATAAGAGTCTAGGTTTGGACATTCAATTTAACCATAAAAAGTCACATGAACACATTTAAAAAAATATCCATAAAGAAAGTTATTAAAATACAACAGAAGTGGATGGAAAGAGCAGAGGGAGATCCCAACCAGACCCTACTGAAATCCTGTATTAAACTTCTGAAAAAGAGGCAGCATTTAACAGGTGTTAATTTGAATATCCTCCATCCCCACATGGAAACGGGTTTACCTTACTAGCAGTTGCTGGACACCCAGTTAACATGATTACTGAGCACTGCAGAAACACTATTTTTAAGCATAAACTTTCTCTTGGATTTTTCAAGTTACTGAAGTAGTAGTTCTTCCATCAGCAACCTTCTGACGCTATATCCCAACAAGCATTAGTTGGAGTGGTCAGTATTGACCATAACCAAAGCTAAAGCAAGGAAAGCATATTTATTGCTAATCAGAATGTGCCTGATTTTCTTATATATACACACACCAAAAAATCTGAAGTCACTAAAATGATAAACTTCCAAAATATATATTTATCCTCTACTAATCTATTGTACAAGAATCTGGATATTCCCCTCACACTAGTTCTAGGCCAATTTAATTGAAACTTGGGTAACTTTAATTCTCACATTTACCACAATGACTTAATAAATCACCTGTTTGAGGTTTTTCTGGCTCAATTTACAACCACTTAAATGTATTAGGAGTAACTCAAGAAAACTTGTAAGTGTGCAGCAGCATTTACCATAGCTTTTATAGCTGCAGTCCTAACACGAGGGTCCTGGTCATTAAAGTGGTCCCCTATTATCTTCTGGACATCTTTGGTAGCCAGGCTTTCAGCTTCTTTTGGGGCACCTTTTTCCACAGATCCAAGATAGCCAATCAGCTGAAGGCACTTGTTTCTGACACCATGGGACGAGTCCGTCAGATACTGCGTAATGGAATAGAATAAGAAATGTTTTTCTTGGTATTTTATCCTTTTAAGCAGCAAACTCTTTCACATGAGATGAAGTCTTCCAAATATTTGTGTTTTGTTTTAAAGTTACCACAGTTTTCAGGGAAAAAAATCCAATAGTAGCTTTCCTTCAAATATTTGATACTTATTTTATTCTATACATTATCTATCCTACAGAATAACAATTTCATGAAGAAGTAGCTTTCCTTCAAATATTTGATACTTATTTTATTCTATACATTATCTATCCTACAGAATAACAATTTCATGAAGAAGTTTAATCAGAAATTTGACACACACATACATTACAGTTCTCTCCATAGAAAACTGCTTTTTTGGCAACCAATTAAAATAAGCTGTCTCCTGGGGCATTACTTTCAAAAACAGTTGCAGGTGTAATTTAGGCAAAACATTGCACATCCTAAGCAGCACACACAAAATGAGTAACTGCTCATGCAGCAAAGATATTTGGCACTTAGAACCATCCTCCCCATTTTACAGTTAAGTATCAAAGTTGGAATTCAAGAGTTCCTAGTTCCCAGTCTTGTGCTCATACCAAAACTGTCTCAGAGTTTATATGACTTCAGTACCTTCAAAGATACCCTTAAATTTAGTAGTCCTAACAAGGATTCCTGTCCCACAACAGATTGACACTGAAATCAATGAAACATACACTATTAAATCCCTCCCAAAAAAGCATTTTAAAGATCTTTTAGTAGAATACAATTTCTTCTTATATATTCTCCTCCTCTAACACTTTACTAGAAGGATTGATCATAAACCAAGAGTAAGCAGCATATTTTAAAATTAAATTTAAAGAAGGAGAGTGACTCACAGACTCAGGTAATTTTTTCATTAAAATACCAAAAGGGAAATAGGTAATTATGGATAATTTATTAACTCACATGGCAACTCATTCTGTGATTTTTATTCAACGCGCTACTCCATGAATAGAATGTACTTTGGTTACAGACATAATTGTAGCAAATTCAGAATGGTCAAAAGGCTTATTGGTCAAATCAAACTTTAGAGTTGGTATATTTTCTCCCTTTAACAACAAGATTATTTTAGCTATAATCAGACACTGTTTTCTTGAGACGAGATGGGTGTGGTAATATTGTTTATTGGACCAACTTCTGCTGGTGAAAGAGACAAGCTTTCAAGCTTACACAGAGCTCTTTGTTTCTTTTATCTTTACTAGGGCTCTTATGTGAGACATGAGTGCTGAGGGAAAGAGGTAGCAGGTGTGGAAGTCAGATAACATTTACTGCACAAGCTTCAAAAATAATACCCCCTAAAACAGAGGTGGGCAAACTACGGCCCACGGGCCCGGCCCCTGAGCTCCTGGCCCGGGAGGCTAGCCGCTGACCTCTCCCCTACTGTCCCCCCTCCCCCGCAGCCTCACCTCACTGCGCCACCAGCGCAATGCTCTGGGCAGCGGGGCTGCGAGCTCCTGGGGCAGCGCAGATGCAGAGCCCGGCCTGATCCAGCCTGTCCTGGTGCAGCCAGGCCACCAGCCACTGGTGCTCCCGGCAGCGCGGTAAGGGGGCAGGGAGCGGGGAGGGGGTTTGGATAGAGGGCAGGGAAGTTCGGGGGGTAGTCAGGGGCTGGGGGTGTGAATAGGGGTGGGGGCGGTCAGAGGGCGGGGAACAGATGGGGTTGAATGGGGGCGGGGTTCCGGGGGCGGTCAGGGAGAAGGGATGGTTGGATGGGGCAGGGGTCCGAGGTGGGGGGGGGCAGGTCAGAA